CTCAAATCTACAATAAAATGGGTGATGGACCCCAAGTGCCTACAAACATTAGGCCAAAAGGCCAAAAAAAAATTTTGCTGGTGATGGTGTACAGTAAGATGGGTTGCACCATTGTATCCCTTGGGATACCCGGATATCTGCCGAGATTTTGGGCAGAAAAGGACATCCGCACCCGCTGGCGGGTATCCGCCAGCGGATAGCGGATATCCGCGACCATCTCTAATTGTAACTTACAACAATAGGGAGGCCCTTTTCCACTTTGTTGTGTACCACAGCCATAGTGTGACTTCTTACCTCATCAGCTCTGAGTCACTTTAGAGACCGGTGCTGACAACAATAGCCTGGTTCACAACAGCCAGTTCCAATGGCTGATCACCTTGTTAAAATATTCTGATAGGAAAAAGTTTCTAGGTAGCATCTGTAGTAACCTGGCTACAAATTCAATAATGGATGTTGTTGGAATTTCACTTGTCTATCTCTCTCCTTCACCTTTCTATCACATACCTGTCACTCATTTTCTGATCTTAGGTCATAATTGTTTTTCTCTTAGTTATTCATTATGCATCATCATAGCTCCCACATCTTGATCATTGTTGCACCTAGAGTACTTAAGCCCTCTAGATATTAAGGAATTAAAAGACCATCAGTTTTGACCTCACTGTTCCCTTGAATACACTTTAGCCTCTTCATTACCTTATTAAGAAGACACTTAAGCCTCTTCTATTAAGTTGATAGGTTGCTTATTCAGACATTGTCTGCTCTTGGCTTTGCTGATTTTTCCCCTCCTTGACTCAAATTTTCTTCAGATGTGTTTTTAAGTATCAATGATTTTCTGATTACAGCTAAAAAAATCTTGCTGATGACTGTCTAACCTTAACCGGTCTAATATTCTCCAAGTATGATTTCTCATTCTCCCTTTTCAACTAAGATCAGAAGCATTGAAAAATTTATTTGAAGTTCCCAAGGGCTTTTCTGTGTAACTCCACTACTGCAAAACAAGGACAAATTTTGTGCCAAATGATCCCCTGTATTATTCACACAACAAACAATTACTATGCATCAAATGCAGCACAAGAAAGTATGTAGTTCAGGCATGTAGCAATCCCCCCCCCCCCCAAAAAAAAAATATTTGAACCTGTTAGAGGTGTTATGGGTGTTCTGGGGAGAGCAGGAGGTATCTACTGGATTCTGGTTCTTGATGGTAGATTGCAAGATGAGGAATGTAAAAGGTGTGTATCTCAAACAAACTCCAAGTTTGAAGTGTGTGACATGTACGTAACAGGCTATGTACATATGTAGCATCCCAGGTTCCAGGCTCCAGCATCTCATAACAATAGGCAATCTTTTGCCATGTACTACATATTTCCTTGTTCTAGATTTGATGTAGCATCTTTTGATGCATAGTGCATGTTTGCAGTGTGAATAATACAGGTGATCATTTGGCTCAAAGTTTGCCCTCTTTTTTGCAGTAGTGGAGCTGCACAGAAGAGCCCTTGGGCACTGTACTGTAGTGTTCAATATCAACACTCAGTACTGGGTCAGTAGTTTACACTGCACTATCGGAATTGTCCCAGTAATTTAGTTCACTTGATCCCTTCCCCAATACATTGATGTTATCTGTAGTGGGAAATTTTTCTCTCCTCCAGTAGTGCAATGATTCAGGTTTTGTCTGTAATGAATGAATAAAATAATGCATTATCACATTATCCAGAGGTTAAGCAAGCCTAATTAACACATTTTAGGGGGCAAAAAGCCTCTATTTTTGGTCATTGGCAGCAACACATGCCATAAATTTCCAAAAAGTATCACATGTCTTACCAACATGTAGGTTTTTTTTTTCAAAAAATAACTACCAGTGGGTGATAGTGTAATGAGCATGAAAAAAAATTCCAAGACAAGATGGGCAATATAATGTGAATAAAGAAATTCCAAACATCGTGAGGAAAGTAATGATAGTGAGTGCAAAATCACTACTTTACTTTTACACTACCCTACCATTATGGCTAGTGTAACTACCCAGTGTTATCAATATTCTCTATCGATCCCTTAACAAGAGGATTTAGAATTAGTAAATAGACTGCATAATCATCCCCACAAGTTTGATTGCATACAATTTTCAGTGATGTTTATGTTCAAGGCCCCGTTTGGCTGTCTGTAATTTGTGATTTTGAGTCAAGGTTTGGCAGTAGCAACGGTGGGCCGCTACACTAACCGTAGCGGTTAGTGTAGCATAACACAGCTGTATTCCTGTTAGCGCTAAGCGTAGCGTAGCAGAATTCCGCCACAACACTGCTAACGCTACGCGTGTGGGCCGCCAAAAAGGGCCCACTACGCTGCGCTACAGCGCTTTTTAGTGGTTTTTGGCCGCTTTTTACGCTAAAAGCGCTGTAGCGTAGCGTAGCGAAAAACCGCTAAAAACAAGCTAACACTACAATTTTTTGGGGAAAAAAAAGTGCTGCTACGCTACGCTTTTTGGGCCAAAAGCGTAGCGGCCCACCGCTGGCAGTAGTTTGTGCAAAAAAACTTTATATATTTTTATATTGCAAGGTCCAAATCTGCGCCAAACCTTAGCCAAATCATAAATTGTGATTTGCGGCCAAACAGGGCCTAAGATTTTGGAATGTGCTAGATTTGGAAGATTTGGAGATCAAAGTGCACAATTGAGTTAAGGGTTTCAAGGGAACAAAATCAGTATTACTAATTGCAAGAGTCAAATTTCTGGTAGGCAGTGGAAGCCCAACCCCACTTCAAAAGCAAAAAATGTAATTTGTCTCATCAAAACTAGCCACCTTTGGGCCAACATGAACTTGTGTCACTGGAGGGTTCTTTTTAATATTCTGTTATCCTGACTCTGGGTAGTCAAAATACTAGAAAATTGTTTTGTTTTCCAAAAAGCTTAGACCCAATTTGGGTTTTTTTTTTTTGTTGTTGCATTTTATGGATCTAGTTTTCATTTCAATTTTTTTTTCTGCCTCAGTTATCCCACAAACTTTGAGTCTCTTCTCAGCTCATTTGATGGCCAGGTGTATGGTTGGCCTCTCTGTTGTGCCACTAGAGTAAGGTGACTGGTAACCCCATGAGTTGGCTGGTGGGGTTGTTGAGTTTTTTTGAACCTGTCACTGTCTCTGACATTTGTGAAACTACTTCGTTCTCTCTCTTACCATCCGCAGCAACTCAGTCAACCGGTTAGGGTTGAGTACCTCTCATCCATTAAAAAAGAACTCTCTGATCCCTTCAGTCAATCGCCAGAATCAACAAGACTCTTGACTCAAATTCAAGATCATACTCTAGACTCACCTCAAGACCATTGATCTCTCATCAAGACTCAAATAACTAAAGTCTGATTCTCTAACTGAATGTCGCTTCAGATCTTATTCATACTGTCTTCTGAACTCTCAATCCATCAAGATTGATTTCAGTGACATCACAAAATTGAGTCCAGGCTTCCATTCCGTTTAGCATCACGCTGATCATTGTGCTGTTTGTTCCTTCTTTTTCTCTTGTTTCCTTTTCATTTCTGTTTCCTGTGTCTCTTGTTGTTTGATGAGGGAATCACTAATCCCCTCATCATTGTTCATCTTTCTTTAGTTTTGCTTCCTTTTTGCCTTGTGCTCTCTTACTTCCTTATCAAGTCCTCACTTTTATTATCATATTGGAGGACTTCCCGTGCGAACTGGAGCCCTCACAGAAGTCAATCTAGACTCGAAAACTCTAGATTCTTGCAGGGGAATTTGGTTTTTGAGGCTCTAGATCGGCTCTTGGGGACCCGCAGATTCCGACGGGAAGTCCTCCATTGTCCATCATTATTGGTATGCTTAATTTCTTGATTCTTTTCTTTTTGTCTTGTCTCTAACCTTTTTTGTCTTGTTTTGCTTGTTTTTATTTTTCAGTCTGGTTTTGGTTCCTTAGAAATATCATCAAAATTTCCTCAGGGGTCAACCGATTGCTCTGGTTCATAACAAGAACTCAGTTTTTTTTGCTAATTCTACTTCCTGAGCATCTGCTGGAGCAAGGTGGCAGCAGAAGTGGTTTTACCCCTGGGTGTTATCTGACAGCTGCCAAGACAAAACCTGACCAAGAAAACAAAAAACATGGGATTTCTGGAATCCAAGTTCAAATCACACTTGGTCCAAGCCTTTTTGGATAACACAAGATCAGATATCCTATTGGGACTATGTAACCACTGCTACATTACAGGATTGCCACTGGTCTTCCTTTCAGTTCATGAAATGGAATGTTGTATCTCATTCTCTTGTCCCCCTCTTTTCATACTAATTCCTTCTTGATTATGGATACATTACAGATGAGAGATACTGTCTTAATTCTAATTCCAATCATAGTTTTTTTTGTTTCCCCTACATCACAAGCCCTTAAGGAATGTATGTAAATTGCTACTCTGCTATTTTAGTGGGAGTAACACCCTTCCATGAGCATGGAGCATTCCAGTTTTTCTCATATATGTGATGCAGACTCATGATGACCTTTATTCATGCTAACAATCAGGCCATGTGAGTTTTCAACTCATTACAAACCTCTGCAACTGCAGACAACCACCATCAATTGTATTCTCTCCTTGGCTCCACAGGAAGTTTCATCATAAGAATGACAACCCTATGCTCCAGGTGGGGGGACAGACGAGGATTGGAGGTGATTGTCTATTATTATTATTTTTTTGGATATTTCTTGGCTTGTATGGAAACTGTCTGAAGTGGCCAATTAGCATTGGATCTGATGGAGTAATGATGGCCTTGGAGGGGATTATAAGAGTTTATGGTTTGGCCGGTGACTGTTGTATGTACTCAAGATGATGATGATGATGAAGTACAGTCTTCCAGACACCACTTCGGCCTCTTTGATGATCAAGTTCTGAGACTGAAAAGAGCTTTGTATTTTCGACTCAAGACGAGACGCAGCTCATATGGAAGTGGTCCAGGGCCCAACAAGTTAAGCTTTTCTTTGTCTTGGCTGTATAAACAATTACATAAACAACGCCAATCCTGCCATCTGACTTGCCCTCTCTCTCTTTCTTTCTTTGATCATCAAAGGACCCTTCAATCATTAACTCACCTATCCCGTCCTCTCTTGTCTAGGCGCGCATTCCGAGAAAAGTATTCCAAGGCGACTCTGACTCAATATAGTCATCGGCAAGAATCAAGATACATAGGCTAATCTTCAACCCTCCTCTGTCCTGGCTCATCCACCCTCAGACTACATCCCTTCTCCCTCTCGAGTCCTTCTGTACTTAAACCAACTCAAAATCAAACAAGAATCAATCCTCAGTCCTTGATCCAACTCCTCATCTGAACTCGTTCATGACCCTCACGAAATGTCTTCTGATACGTAAGTCCATCCCATCCAACCCTTTCTGCTTTTTACCTGCACTCTTCTCTTAACTCAAAAGCATCTACTGACCATTACCACTTTTATACTCCACCACTCAACAAATGCACTCCATTCATCATCATCATGACACCCCAAAATCCGCCTTCTTTACTCCCATTGCAATTCGCCCCCCCACTCACAACCCATCGCCCATGTTTCTCGTCCCTTTTCTTCGTCTTGGCCTAACTCATCTGCAAAATACCCATGCCACCTCCTACCAGTTCCTTCATTGCCGCCAGCACAAAATCCACCTCAACCTTCATCTCAGCCTTGATCATCTCAGCAAGTGTCAGTGATCACCACCGCCTCCTTCCCATCAGATAAATTAATCAAACAATCATCATTCTCTAGCTCAATTCAAGCTTTTTTTTACTGTATGTTGATGATCACAGGTCGCTGGAATTCAATTGGCTGCCTTCCTCATTCTCAGGACAAGCATCAGGAAAATCTACGCCCCACGTCAGTCATTTCTTGTGTGTGCTCCATCCCGCTTCTCACCCGTCTAATCATTTTTTTTTCTCTCTTATCTTTTGTCTATGTAGGCACATATCTTCCGATCCCTTCCAAACGCTCTCAACCAGTCTCGGTGACTCCATGGGGATGGCTTCTACCGACGCTCACCTCGCCGTCCAAGTCGATGATTCCTACCGCAGGTCTCGACGCCTACATGTACATCCGATTTCTGAGGATGATGATGTGAGTAACCACTTCAATCAAACAGATTCACACATATACTGACCCTCAAAACTGTGATATCTCCTTCTACACAGATTTATCTTCGCTCCAAGTACTTGCCTCGTCATGGTCGTCCTATTGCCGCTTAATTCAGTAGGTACTAGTGTCTCCACCACCGGTCTCAACAGTTTTGCATTCGGAAATATTCCCAAAAACAAACAAATCAGATACGTTGGTCATCTGTTGTGCGCCTACGCAATCACCAGTGAGTCTATGTCCTATCTCTATATCCCAACCGAGCCTTACTTTGACCCTGTCATTTTTTTTCAGTATGGACCGTATTCTTGATTCAAAAAGAGATGTCCGAGTATATTGAAGTCCGTCAGCGATATCTCACCCGTCAGAGCCATCTTGATCTACCCCAATCACGCACTGTCCTCGTCACCGGAGTCCCCAAGAGCTTCTTGTCGTCCGAAGTCCTGAACTCACTGACTGCACGCCTGCCCGGAGGAATCAAACGAGTGTGGATCTCGCGTGCATTGAACGACCTACCGGAGATCTACAAGAAACGACTCGAATGCGTCTCCATGCTCGAATCTGCGGAAACCACACTGGTCAAGAAAGCCATCAAGCAACACAACGCATTGCTCAAATCTTCCAACGAGACCTCCCACTCCATCCTCCCAGATGTCATCAAGCGGATCCGCTCCAAAGAACAAACCACCGCTGAACAGGATCCCGTTGATCAATACGTCCGTCGCAAATCCCGGCCCAGTCATCGGCTCGGCTTCCTGGGTCTCTTCGGCAAGAAGGTTGACACGATCGACTACTGTAAAGATGAGATCGTCAAGCTCACTAACCAACTCGAAGAAGCTCGCCAGAAAATCGACCAGCATCACCCACACAACTCAGCTTTGTGGGTCGAATCTCCTGATTCACCTGGTCTTCACACTCAATTTACTTATTTCTTCCTCCTCCTACCTACAAAAAAACAGCATCGAGTTTAATGAAATCCTTGCCGCCCAAATCTGTCAGTCTCACACAAATTTTGATTGAAGCTATTTTCAGAAATCGCGTTCTCAAGTCCTCTGTTTCTTCCTACAGTCTCGCAGATAGTGCTCTACCAAAAACCGCTTCGGATGGCGAAACGCTATGTCGATGCAGCACCGCAAGACATCATCTGGTGTGTTAAAAATCTAACTATCTCATCATAACGTTTACTAACTACCGCGTTCATTGGTACCAGGGATAACTTGAATATCAATCCTTACGATGAGCGGATTCGGAACATGATTTCATGGGTCATCACCCTTGGGCTCGTCATCCTGTGGTCTTGTACATACCTCCCCTCCAGCTCTCACCTACTCCTTCCTCTTTTCTTTCCCAGTGGTCCATAGTCTGACAGCCACCAAATTTCTTTTTCTTTTTTCTCTACCTTTGCTAGTTCCTGTGGCTTTCATCGGTTCCTTGTCTAATATTACTTCCCTCTGTACTACCGTCCACTGGCTATCATGGCTATGTAAAAGTCACAATCATTTACAGGATGTCATTCAAGGTGCGGATCAACCGAACCCTCAACATCTCGACAACCTGCTTAACCTCTTCCGATTTGCTATATATCATTTCTAGGTATCCTTCCCCCGGTCCTCCTGGCCTTAATCTTCTTGATCCTACCCATGCTTCTTCGTCTGATTGGACGATATTCAGGCGTACCCAGGGTTTCTGAGATCGAACTGATCCTCATGACCCGTTATTACATCTTCCTCGTCATCCATGGTTTCGTCGTCACCACTCTCTCGTCTGGTCTTACAGCCGCCATCCCGGAACTCTCCAAAGACCCCTCAAAAGCCGTCACCATTCTCACCGTCAACCTCCCCAGGGCCTCGATCTTCTTCATGACTTATATGATTACCACTTCGCTCTCCAGCGCATCTGGTGCTCTTCTCCAGGTGAGATTCCAACACTTTCTCACGATCCCCTCTTTCCCCCCACACAAATTCTTGTATGGCTATAAACCAGACTGAACTGACGCCTTTTTCAAACAGATCTTCCCCTTGATCATTTATCATCTCAAGCTCTTTGTTCTCGCCTCCACCCCTCGTAGCGTATTTGACGTTCGCTACGAAATGGCTCAGCCTCAATTTGGAACCTTATTTCCTAATACTACACTGCTTGCGACCATCGGACTTGCTTACAGTATCACTGCGCCCATCATGTCCCTCTTGGCGCTCGTAGCTTTCACCATCTACTTCGTCGTCTACAAGTATCTGTTTCTGTTTGTCTATGACGTCCCGGCAGCTCACGAGACTGGTGGACGGTTCTTTCCACTGGCGATGAACCACGTGTTCATCGGCTTATATTTCTCCCAACTTTGTCTAGCCGGTCTTTTCTTTCTTGCGCGGGATGTCTCGGAGAATGCCAGTTCGATCCCGCAGGGCGCGATGATGATTGTCCTCTTCGTCCTCACCTGTTTCTCACACGTGCTTATCCGAAACAGCTATGCCCCGTTGACGATGTTTGTGCCCTTGAACATGCTTGAAGAGGAAGTGATCTCGAAGACCAAGAAACGCAAAGAACTGATCCCGTCGGCATCGGAGAAGCAGTCCCCAGCCGATAGAGTCCGATTTGCTGACCCCTCGATCCAACGCGACTGGTCAAGTCCTGCCTCTGATAACACTGCGGACACGTTTGTCCAACGGTCCGCCTCAGAATCTGATATGACCCGAATGTCGATGTCCAAGTCGGATGGACAGGAGTTCTGTCAGACCGTCCTGACCCCGATCGGCGAGGATGGAGGCGAATACTTGTCCCATTCCCAGAGACCTCCGCTCCAGAACTCTTCAAACGTCCCCGGACCTAGTTGGGGAGACGAAAACTTTGCGACCGAACAGAGTCGAACTGCATTCTTACATCCAGCTGGTTTGTCTCGTATCTCGTCATCGAGAGAATACTTTGAATTCGTTCCATTCATGATGGCTTTTCTCCCCCTTTTATTGAAACAGTTTGGGAAAACACTCGGCCGGTTTGGATTCCTGAGGACCCCATCGGGGTCGCTAAGCTTGAAGTTTCAGATATGAAGGCTCGCAAGATCCCTGCCTCGTTGAAAGGAGCTGGGATCACATCCTCTGGAAAAGTATTTGTTACTCGGTGAGGATTTGATTTACATATTCTGAGAGCAAGTCAGTGAACGCAGGAATGGAAACTGACAGAAAATGATGGAACGCAGATCGCCACCGGAAAACGCGGAAGTGATCGAATTGGAGCGCAACAACAAGGTCCAAGGCATCTTTGCTCTACCCGGGGCGATAGGAGGGGTCGCGCGTGCAGCGGGAGGAACGATCGGCGGGCGAGTGATGCGGAATGGGTCAGCTCGGGCGAGCCAGTCGCATGTGCGGAACCACTCGAGCTCGTCGAGCACGCTGACGAACGAGGGCTCGGCGCCGCCGCCGGTGCCCAAGCTTCCGCTGGGGATCGAAGGCCTCAAGAGCAGTCTGTCGGCGATCGGCGGCCGGAAGAAGGAGCGTGTCCGGCCCTCCTCGGAGTCCGACGACCAACGCGCCCTCAAACATATGAGCGACGTGCCCGAGGAATCCCCCACCACCGCTATCACCATCGGCTCCCTCAGCTTCGATGAACACGACTCCCACGAACTCCATGACTTTGCCCATCTCGTCTCGCCCTCTAAACTCCCCTTCATCAGCCCTTCTTCCCCAGACTTAAATTCCTGCCATCTCCCCGAAAACTCCGTCGTTCGAGGCCACCCTAGTCGCTATCGCTCCGACGCATCTGGCTCCCCTGCCCAGGGCTCCTCTTCTAGACATGACACTCCTTAGTCCCGCTATCTATCATCTTCCCCGCTAATTACCTTCTTTTCTATCGTCGATCGTTTTCTTTCTTTTTTCTTTCATACCTCGGTTTTTTCTTTCATATACCCCGTCAATACAATTTGTTATAACATCAAAAAAAAACCCAAAGGAATCCTTGAATTTTTGTTTTGTTTTTGCTTAGTTCTGTTTCTACCAACCTAAAAACCATACAACACATATATATATACCCATTTTTTTCCATTTGTTTTGGTTCACAAAAAAACAAATATAAAAAAAATGCATCAATGTCACCATCACATCATCATGATTCCTATTCTTTATATCGTCTCATGTTGTGCTACCTCTGATCACTTATTCTGTTTCTGATTCTTTTTGCCCACTTCGCTTATTTATCCTCCTCGTATCTATCTCTTTTTCTTTGGTGTGTGTGTCTCCGAACGGCCCGCTTCTCTCTTCCAAAGCCTTGCACATTTCGTTCTCCCATCGCTCTCTCTCTCAAACACCCACACATACACACATATTTATATTTCCTTGTTGGTTTTTGTTTTATACTTGCACTCTCCATCATCCATCATCATCATCATCATCATCATCATCATCATCATCATCATGCTCACCAGCGTTGTTGTTGTTGGTCGGTTAGCTCTTTGGATTTCCTTGTGTGTCGTTCCTAGCTCTCGCATCCCATCTCATCTCGTTCTTCAAGCAGAACGCGTGTTTTTTTTGTGTTTTTTTGTTTTTGGTGTGTCATACACCCATTGCATTTCCTTTCCAACCATCTGTGAGCTTGTATGATCTACTTGACATACCTCCCATGTATCCCCCCCTGCATTGGTTCTACCCCATCATCCATTCTGTTCACAACTTTTCCTCGTTTTTTTTTTTTCTTGATCTGTATAGGAGTACTAGGACCCTGGCAAGCGCTCCAAAATGTGGGTAATGTAGACCCAGATGAACAAAACTCGAATTTGACTTTCAACTATACATGTAATTGGGATCATTCCAACATGGGGACATGTACAAGGAAAAGGTGCATCTTGTACATGTATTCATTAGTCATGAAGTTACACCAGTGACCCTTGAGAAGCCAAAAACTAAAAAAAAAAAATGTATGAATCCGAAATTCATACATTTTTTATTTCTAGTTTTTGGCTTCTCAAGGGTCATTGGTGCAGGTTCACAACTAATGAAGACATGTACAAGATGCACCTTTTCCTTGTACATGTCCTGATGTGAAAACCATCCCAATTTGATGTATGGTTGAAGGTCAAGTTGGGGTTTTGTTCATCTGGGTCTACATTACCCACATATTTGGGGGGTTTCCAGGGTCCTGGAGTACTTTTCTCCTCCTCCTTCCCGCACAACAAAATACAACCTCGCCAAAACCACCCATGTACATGCATTTCAATCAATCCATTAGTTGAGCACACACTTGAAACAAAAATTCATTCTGAGTTGTTGCTATTGTAATCATCTTCTTCAGTCTCTGTTACACATATTTTTCGTAACCCAGTGCCAGTCTCCTTTCAATCTACATACATATCTCTCAGATTCTACATATTCTGATCGACAGAAATGTCCAGGAGATATCCGACATAAATTCGGTGGTACCATACGCAACGAGGCACATTGCAATCAAACATAACTAGGTCTTTGGGAAAGAGCTCTCTGGGGACTTGCTGGATGCAGCTTCTCTCTTGTGTTATACACCTATTCATTTCCCCATCGTGGTATATATATATATACTCCAGTTGTTCTATAACAATCAAACATCTGTATAAAAAAACACATCTTTGCTTCATGTATATTCGAAAAAAAAAACAATGCATGAGGTGAGGAAGGGTAACATATTGCATTGCTTTTCGGTGAACTTTCCACATGAACGAACAAAAAAAGAAGAAAACAAAAGAAACGAAAGTGATGAGAGAAAGTTGAGTCAAGGTTCGGCCGGAAGAGTGGAACCACACTCTTCTTCTCGCCGTTGCAGACTGATGTAAGCCAAGTTATAGTCATCCAGTTCGTGGTCTTTTTGTTCGCCAAGTCTGTACAAGTTTCTGAGATCAAGGTCGAGGAGTTGGTCGAGTTTCTGATCCAAATCGGAGTGAGAAGCCAGGTTGTTTGGGAGCTCTTCGGCATGAGAATTGAAGAGAGTGATCGTAGTATTCTTAGGTTCGAAGGTCTTGAGGATCCGCGAGATGACGTTCCTGAGCTCGAGATGTCGGTTGGTATAGTCGACGTTAGATTCGAAGGAGGCGAAGCTGTGGGAGCGTTCGGGGGTCACATGGATCGTCCCGTATCGTTTCTGGTCGGGGCCGCCGACCAGATTGGCCGAGAAGCCGCACGGCGAGAACAGATAGGCATCCGTCTCGCCGCTTCCGAGCAACCCAGGCGCATCGATCCCCAGACTCGTCGCGATCTGGATCCCCGCCTCATGCCCCTCTCCTAACTCTTCGCTCGACTCAAAGTGGCTCGCCGCTCGTCGGCTTAGGCCGGTCATCAAAATCTCTAAGGTATAGTCTCTTTCGGCTAACTGAGAAACTTGCTCAGGCTCGATAGCTTGACAAGTCCCGTTCATCGCGATAACGTCTGGGTTTGGAGTGGGTAAAATCGCACTGGGTGGTGGAGCGCTGCCGGATCGTGGTGGTGCTGTTCTATGATAGAGATACCAAGGGTTTTCTCCCAAAACCTGGGCTGTTGCATGAGGGGCTGATAGCAAAATAATCATCCAACATATTCGAAGAATTAGTGTACTTTGATTATCAGTTGAGTGAGATGATGCGGAAAAAGTGCAAGAAAAAAGGAGAGAAAAAAAAAATGAAATGATGACGGACCGAACCGATGATCCAAAAACCTAGTCTCATCTTCCCAAGAAGTGTGAGGAGCAGATTGTTGGGCCGGGAACATGAACGCCTTGCGACTGTAGAACCACCGCCACGCCCCCGAGAATCCGCACTCTTCTTTGGCGATCTTGAGCAGACTGTCCAAGCCGAGAAGTAAGCCGGTAGTCCCGCAGGTCTTGAGGATGATCTTGTGTGGCCAGACAAACATCGAGGATTCTCTGCAGACCAGATCGAATGAATTCTAGTTGTTAGTTGACTGAGACGATTCCTAAGTTGGTTAAAAAGAATTTGACGACTGCAGTATAAAGCGTACGAGAGCAGAAAAGCATCGACGTGTTCGGATTCGATGACGCTCAAAACCTTGCACTTGACTTGGTCCAACATGGCGTGCCAGAGCGGATGATTGACGGTCCGAAGGCCGGTGAATTTCGGGCCCGAGCGGAGGAGGCCAGCTCTGGTGCCGACATTCGAGGCAATCGGGACCTGGTCGGCCGACGGTGCAAACCAGAGCTCGAGCAATTTTTCGGGGCCCTCAAACGGCGGCCCGTTGGCCGGCTCGGCTCCACTCGTCGAGTCCTTCGTTAATACGCATGTAACCTGGAAAGTCCAGTCCATTTTCATTCGATCAAAACAGTCCCCGCCTAAGTATGGATCATCAAATAGTGAGGAAGTCAGAGGATGAGGGAGACATGCTTTACCATTGTCGATACAGTCTTGGTGGGGACGATAGCGAAGCAGTGAATCCAGATCTTTCTGGTCGGAGGCTGCAGCGGCTCGAAAGGAGGAAAAGGAAGGATTAGAGCTGCTGTATGTAGTTGGGTGGCAACTGCTATCCGAGGCAGAGCTCCAGTGTTTGTATGTTGTTGGTGCACGCTCTGATCAGTGCCGCTACCACATCTCAACCAATCTTGCTGGCTGGTTTCAAGGCAGCCTTCTTGAGACAACCTTCACAGCAAAAAAAAAAAAAATTAACTACAGCCGCCCCGGTCCGGGGTTGGGGCTCCCGGCTGCGGAACTCTTCGGACACTCGCCGAGCGACCGGCTTGGCCGGATCGATAAAACCCCGATCTATCGACATTATATGTAACTCGGCGCATCGATTGTGTCGAGATGATCCTGTACAATCACATCGATAAAGAGGCAAACCCAACATCACCTTCATTACCTTCCACAACGTTTGTGCACAGGCCTCCCTAGAGGCTAGCCGTAACTGCCAATTCATATATATTTTGTTTTAAATTTTGAAACTCATGACATATTCCAATGAGTGTCTTTTCCTGTCCCTTGGTCTCAAGTCAGACAGCTTTCCAACATGCTTTAAACGCTTCCACCTTGAACAACTAGAAAAAAACTGTCCAAGGCAGCTTCCAAAATGTCGGCCATGCTGATCTCAAACAGGAATGAGAAACTTCTGAAGAAATCCAATTGAGCTTGAATCGATTGGTTGCGCGAATTCAATCTTGCCCAGACACAGAAACCCCACTGGTTTGTGTACTTCCGCTGTCCTAGAGTAGCAAACCCGGTCAGTGTCCCATGTTGAGCAGGCCAGAAATGGCTTATTCTCTATAAGCTATGCAGACCACTTGCATGGATGGCTCCCACATACTTTTGTGCGAGCTGATCATCCGAATCCTACCCTCTTCTACTCTCTCACTTTAATATCTCAAACACTTTCTCTCCAGAATCTTTATAAAAAAACGGTCTTCCAAAAAAGAAAAAAAATAAGGGAAACGAAAACTTGATTTAAATTGTTACCAGATATCATTGTTCTTTATATCACTATTTGAACCGGAACAACAATTAGCCCTTGTTGGATTGTCTTTCAATATTTTGGAAGAAACATCAAATGTCTTCAATCATTAATTTCGGCAACTTTGTACTCCATTCTTCTCCCCCTTATAATTATAGAAAAAAAGGAAGAACAAAAAAACGGATGCAAATTAGGGAGACGATCTGATAACGAATCAAAGTACTAGAATATATATATTTTTCAAGCCAGAGAAGGTACGTCAAAACGTTCGATCAAAGAATATAAATCATTTGGATGATGAATTTGATACCAAGTAAGCGTAAGAAACGTGGTTTTGTTCCTAAGGGTGCGGAAAGTTTTATGGCCTTTAACCGAAAACTGATCGATCAATTCTCTTTGGACGACCCCGAAGAGATTGCGGGCGGCTTTTTTAGTCAAGCCGTTCCAGGGTGCCTGAGCCTCGGGGGTTAAAAGGAGTCCATGAATCGGCAGACTGCCTTCGCCGGGAGTGATGATATTCTGGACCAACCATTCCAACAATTGTTTTCTCCTAGCCTGCGGATCATGGACGGGGATCTGCAGCTTTTCGAGCCGTTCGATCAGTCGGATGTGGAAGAGATCCAAGACGACCATGAGCCTCCTGATTCGGGGCAACAGCTCCATCGAGTCCAACGGGAAGGCCGACGATTCTTTCTTCCGGAAGATCCGGATCGGCTGGGCGCGTTGGTCTCGTTGCAGCTGCTCGGACTCGTACAGCGCGATCGGGAGCGTCGGATGGACTCCCTTCACCTTCATCCTCGACGTCAACGTTCGGTCGGCTTGGTCGAGAAACTTCCTCAACAGATCCCGGATCATCTGGGGATTCGGATATCCTTCAACATGGTCAATATCTCGTCGGAGGCCCGCTAAGTCTTGGTCTGAGACTAACTGCGGTAGATACTTGAGGCCTTCTTGGATCAGATTTGTCAGTCCATTCGTGCTCGCCAAAGATTCGATTGGATCCCCTGGATTTACTGATTTTGCAGCCGGTTCTAATTCTATACATAAAATCGTCATGGTGTTGAGTATAAAAAAAAAATGAATCAGTAATTCTCTGGGAAAACGACCATTAATAAACTGATATTGATCGCTCACTTTCATATGGTTTTCTTTTGAACTGCTCCAACAGTTCAAAGGCAGTGGAAGGCAGGAGGCCCAAGTCGCCTTCAACCTGCGAGAAATAGAGGATCAATTTGACTTGATTTTCAGCGATCGATCCGTCCGAGAGGTCCTCCCTCCACACCGGAAATGGCGGTTTGAGTTCGGCTTTGATTGCCAGACTGGGCGCGCGTGTCTGGGCGGATGGGCGGAGGATCGAAACATTCTTTATGAAGCCAGTTGAGCATCCTTTCTTGGTGGGCTACTTGCGCAGTTCTGGGGACGCCCCAGAGGTCTAATGCTTCTCCGTAGAACTTGTGCATGAATACGATCAGGTTCTTGTAGTGGATGTTCATCGTCCGATCTGTCTGTAAAGTGGCTGACGAGCCCTTGAGGATCCTTAACGCTTGGACCTTCTCGCCAAAATCGATTCGCACCAATGGCAGACCGGGGTGAGGCCTCCGGCTGAGCTTGCGCTCCGTGTGCAAGTTCCCAGCCGCTTCGAGTCTCACTTTAAACTTCTTCTTGTGTCGCTTGAGTTGAGGCATCAAAAGCTCCCCTGATAGAGTGAAATAGTTTTGGTGCGAGTCGCTTGATTGATACCGATGCACGAGATCCGAAAACTCCCGCAAACCTTTCATCTGTGTTTCAACCTGCGTCAGGCGATAATTTGGATCTCTTAGTTTTCGTCGTTTTTGACGTGGCAGCTTGGTATAAAGTTGGTCAACTGTTATTAAGGATCAACGTCAAATATTTCAGTTTTGCAGCTCTTGCTCAGCTCAACAGTTACTTGTCCACTAACTAACCTCGATCATGTTGCTCGAGAGATAAGACCTGTCTCGTCTGTCCGCTTGACGAAGCAATCCCTTGGTCACTCAAACCTACAAAAGTTTTTTTTTTTTCCTTCAAAACAAATCAGCTGATTGTGCCGTGAAGATAAGTGAGAATTAAGGACAACTTACGAGAGGTCCTACCTCCTGGATGATACAATGAGTACGGATGACTTGACGGGTTAGTGGGGGGAGCCAACTGCTCTCGATGAGGGAACTCGTTGGTTGGATGCTCTGGGAAGTCGAAATAGATGAGGGGAGAAGTTGGCCAGGTGGAGGAGTCTGACCATTGAGGGTGCTGTTCTTCATGGACCACCTCGTCGAGCGGAGTGAACCCAGTAGCATGGAGGGGCGACAAGGCGGCAAACAGATCATCAGTCTGATAGTTCTCTATTGAAACCGGCCTTTCCTCCCACAGATGACCATTCAAGTTTCCTAGATTGGTCGCGGTGACTGTTATGTTGATCCTTCCCAGAAGACTGGAAAGTAACAAACAACGAAGGATTTCCATGGCGTGCATCTTGAAGACACGTGGTTCGAATTCCCATGAGCCGTGGAAAATATATTTAAGATCAAGAATTATCCATGGCTCATGCTTGAAACACGAAAGACGGATATGAGTCTGGTACACACCGGATGCTCCAGTTCCCACTTTTCCTTAGTCATGGTTTCATGCGACATTGGATTAATATCCTAGTCTAGTTGATATGAGCCGTGGTTTCATGCGACATTCTCTTAAAATGCAGACCAATGCAGCCCCTTGGACTTCCTTACACTTTGGGGAACTTGGGCGTCTCAGGGATTCGTCTCTCTTCTGCCACTTGTTTTGATCAGTATGTATGTAAAGGGGGAATCGGACGGTTTGAGTCAGTGATCTTAGAATTGTTTGTACAGGGCTCACGACGTTATGTTTCCTTTTCTGTGCTCCTCAAGCATTGCAGGTTTACGTGGCCTTTGTGATCAACTTTCATTCCTGGATAACTTTCACTGCAATTTTACCTCAACATACTTTAACAGCCTCGCAAACACACACGGGTAATAGAGAACTCAGATATTTGTTTAGAAGATTGGTGATTTACTTTCAGAGATGATAGGAGAAAGAAAGACTCTAGAATGGATCAAAAAAAAAAGTGTAATATAGAAAAACCATAAAATGA